TGCAGTGAGAAGCCTTAAGATAAAACGAGTCAGGGGTTCTGATAAGCTATGTAGGACATGCAGCCATATTTAAATTGGCAAATGTTGGATATCAGTGCCTTCTAGAAGACTTTCTGCCTATTTTCTGTTGCATGTAAGTAATCCCTCACCCCCCCCTCCTTTCCCACTGTAACTGAGTGGCCCAGCACCCCTGCCTGCTGCCCCTTAATTTGTTACTGCAGAAAGAAACCAGCTGGCTTGCTGAGGCATTTCTCAATATCCCAAACTCATCCTCATTTCCTTTCATTATATCTCTACCTGTCACATTTTTTGCAGAGAAAGGAACAAATGCATTAATTAGAGTGCAGTGAGAGATCCTGCCTGAGCCTCCCACCCTCTCTGCCTCCGTGACCTCGCAGAGATTTCACTAAAAATGTGTAATTAGGTTTTGCAAAGTGACGTCCTGACCATATGCACTTTTTTCAAGTGCTGAAGCCCTAAGCCCTAAGTGGTGGTGTGTGTTTTTCAGAGCTGCTTAGAGTACCACTTCATTTTTCTAGCTTTTGTTTACAAAGTTCTGTTTACTTAGCTTCTTACCAGTGCCCGAGGACATCAAAGCTAAGTCCATTTTGAAAACTCTCAAAGCCCATGGACAATGTCACTTATTGGCCTGGATTTTGCATATTCTGAAAAAGGTGTTATAGATTATTGCTATAGATAGGCTGTGTTGTAAATGTTGTGTTTGCACGTGAGCTTGTGTATGTTCATCTGTCTGTCCTTGTGCTAGTTTGCCAGAATATGTAAAGAAACTCCATCCCAAGCAGGGCTGGATTTAAGCATGATCTGAAGTGCTCTGCTAGCATAGATTGCACCAAAGCTCATTCTGTGCTGAATCTGTGCCAAAGTGCTTTTCAGTTAAATTGCAAATTAACATAATGTCTCTTGCGAGGTTAAAATATTATTATTCTCTTCTCTACTTCCTCTCTTCAAGTGGAGTCTGCTGGTCCAGTTACGGACTTTTAACCATCATCATTACCATGATAGAGATGAGTTGTCAAGGAGAGGGGTTTCTCAAAAGCATCCAGACTTAAAATTGATCTAGCTTCCTTTAAGGCGCTTGGTGCAAACTGGAGTCCCTCTAACACAAATACCTCCTCCTCATCATCCAGGATGTGCTTCAGCCTGGGCTTTAAGAGCTGCCTGAAGTGTCAAAAGAGCCTGACTCTCCAGGACTGTTGGCAGGTGAAGCTCAAGTTTGTCCTGTAGTGTGTCATGCTCTGGCTGTAGCTTTGTAGACCAGAGCCGGGGGCCTCACCTGACAGTGAAAGCAGTCTGGGAACCAGTGAAGACTTTTAGGCGCAACTGTTGTACCTGCGCAGCAGGAAAACAGCTCCTGCCTTTACAAGGTAGACCTCTACATTGACAAGCTGTCTTAACCTAATATGTTCTTGTGACAAAGGCATGGATCAGGAGGGCCAGTTCCTACTCTTGGTGGGGGGGAGGAAGCAAGCAAGCAAGCATTTTACGATGATCTGTTTTTCCTATCCTCAGCATTAGGAGATTGTTTGTACGCTCCTGGTAGTTCCAGAAGGGGCCACAAGCCCCAGGCAGACAATGCTTTTCTTGGAGAGCAGCGCTTCTGAAATGAGAAACAGACAGGGAAAATAATGACAAGCTAAAACATACCAGCAAGGAGAGGTTGATAGGCCAGCACTGTGGTCTCTTGTTCCTTTTGTGTGGATGGTCCCTGCTTGCACTCCCGCTGCCTTACCTTAGCTCCACTCAAGAGCTCCACACAACTTGAAGCCTTCAAAGTGTCGTTGTTGCATCTAATCACAGGCTCACAATACACGTTTTTTAATGTTGATATGAAAAATCAGGACACTAATAGATACATAGAACTGCTTTTGGATTTCAACTTCCATTTAGGAGAAGAGCTAAATTGCTGAATCTTAAACAATATGTTTCACTACCACCTCACTAGCAGAAATTCTCGCACTCAAACTCAAGGAAGAGCTGGCAGTGATATCATGGGTGCTCTACTTTTCACAATAAGCACATCTTTCCCTGGTTAAATAACTATCAGTGCAGATTTTGCCACATTTCATCACATAATGCCCAGTCCCAGATCTTTCTGGTTTTTGTTTTCAAGCACTATTTTCTCAGGGATGCCCTAAACAGATCTAACTAAAAAAACCAAGATTGTTTGGATCCCTGTAAGTGCTGGGATCCAAAGTCAATGTGGATCTTGCAGTGTTTATAGGAAGCTTTACCTCTCTGGCATATTTTAGCTTCTACGAACTAAATACCATGCCATTCATACCTGTCCCACTTGCCTGCTTCTCAGCAGGGCTTGCTGGCTTGGCCAGTGGCTGCATCAATGCAGCCTCTGGAGATTTAGGTGACTTGAGAGATGGCAGGGCAAGCTGTGGATATATTCCCAGAAAAGACCCAGGTGTCTGCAACACAATGGGATTTTACTGAATTTGATATGTTGGTTTTACAGAGGAGAAATCTTGGCAGAAGTAGAAGGAAATGTGGGGGGAAAGCAAGACAAGAGTTTTTAAGTGATGAACTAGTGGGAGTTTCTGCTCTGACCCTGGATCCTGTTCATATACACCTACGTTCCCCAAAAGGTGCCACAGGGACATAGGGAAGCAGCTGTGACAGCAGAGACAGGCAGGAACTGTACCTATAGCAAGGAGCTGAGGAGAGGGTGGTTAAGCTCTGTGCTCTTTTACAACACGCACACCACGTTGCCCATGTAACAGTCACGCTTTTCAGGCGCGCTCTTGGAAGATCTAGGCACAAGCACAAGGAGGTGGTTTGAAATTACTACATATGTCTTCTTGATATATTTACACTCTGGGGACCACCCACGTCACAGGATGTGTTTGAATTGCTCACCAAGCTTTCTTCTGGAGTAGAAACGAAATTACAGTTTCTCTTCTCCCAGAACACGAGAAAAATTAACAACTTTCTGAATTATTATTATTATTACAGAGGCGTTCTTTAAAAATAGGTCCTATTCTTGAAGACCTTTCAAGCACTGGGGGAAGTCTTTGCACCTTTTCAACTCTTTTAAATGCTGGTTATTTAATCCTAGCTTGCAAAAAAAATGCATAGAGGTAAAAACAAACTCCTCTATTTCGTAAGCCAGTTTAAGCAAGTTGAGGAAAGGATATGGGAAGGGAGGATGAAATCCCCATTGGAAAAGAAGCATTCTTTTTGATGTTTATATGACAGTGGAATCCTTGTGGATACTTCTGTGCACTGAGACAATATATTTTAGTTTTAATTGTTTCAGTCAATGTCAATTTTACATCAAACATGCAATAAAGTAAAAATGGCCTTTGGGAAACATCACTGAATCTTATTTTGTGCTGCAGTACTGCCAGTGTAAATATCTACTTCTGTTTTTTAAGCTCAAAGCCAAATGGAGCAACATTTTCCTTTCAGAGAGACTACTGGCCTTTCAGCATCAAAAATATTATTTTAGCATATAAAAATTGTTTGTCAGTGATTGTAATAACAAGAATCTTTGCAAAATCCATTATTACTCTAGTAAACATTTTCCCTTAGGCAGTAATAGAAGGAAATGAATTAAGAAGTTAGTTGATAGCAACTGGATAAGAAAAAATCGCAAAGAAAGTGCCACATCTACAGAGTTACTGGGATAAAATATATTTTCTTTCTGTTCAAATTATTAAATGTTTAGAGTAGCTCAGAGAAAACAACAGATCTAAAGTATTTTGGTAAGTTATCATTTATTCTACTGCTTGCTTTCCAGAATGCTAGAAGATGACCTCAAGTTAAGCAGTGATGAAGAAGAGAATGACCAGGTAAGAACCAGACAACTAACATGTCACTTGTAGCAAGTTTCGTGTGGCGACTGAGCTACTGCAAATATTTTGCTAATGCTTTTTCAAAACATACATAGAGGTTATCAAAATACATGGCAGTACTGTAACTGGAGTAACAGATGTTGCTGGTTGGAGCCAGCCCGCGTGTGCTAACTGCTGTATTGGTGGGGGACGGTCTGCAGGGCTCTTGATTTATTACCCTGATGCGACCCAGAAGGTTTTTGTATCAGTCTCCTTCTGATTTGAATTTGTTTTGTTTTAAAGAGCTGCCAGGGAGGGGAGAAACAGGAATTCTGGATTAAAGGCTTCAGGACAAACCTTGCAAGCATCAGCTGGCCCAGGGGATTAGCCACTGGGCTACTCATCTCTTGACTGTCTAGAGCCTCGTCAGCGTCCCCCCAGTGCTCATCTCTCCTGCCAGTGTTTTCAGTCCATCTCCGCATGGCCTCTGCATGCTAAGAAAGCTAAGGACAGCTGAGAGAAAGCCTTGGCTGTGCGTCTCATTCACTCCATAACACAGCAATTAGGGCACTTGCCTGGGTTTTAACTGCGGGGCAGATACGTCAGCCAAAGTTTTCCATGTATCAGGAGAGCTGGGTTTTGTTGGTGAGGAAGAGGTATCTCCCACATTTTCCTTGAAGCATTGCTGTGTTTTGTCTAAAAATTTAAGTACTCACTGGAATAGGGCTGGATCTTGACGTTCCCGTGGCTAACTGAGTGCTCCATTGCCAAGTGATGCTGTCGCACACACTTTCCTTCTCAGTATACTGGCATAGATTATTTGGTTAGAGATGAGAGGGCAAGAGCCACTTCCCTTTCTTCTTGCACTAAAATGCATGTCCTGTGCCTTCACCAGAGCATATGAGGGCAGTCCAGCCCCTGGTTGCATCTCATAGATGGATCCAGACCTGGATATAACATGCATTTCAGATGTGATTATTTCAGTCAAGGTTAACTGGAGCTATCTAGACTTCTGAAATTCAGGATCTTAGAAAAATAATTCTAGATATGTAGGCATGAATCTCTTCCAGGGTTTTCTGTAGCCCTTGTTATTAGAAGTCTCTATTTTACAATGCATTCCAAACAACAGGTAAATAAAAACCTTTTGATATTTATACTAAACTATTATTTCACCTCTTTGGAGCTTCTTGGTGTTAAGAAGATTCAGCACATGTATTCAATTATCTACATATTTATACAATTTCTTTTTGTTTAATGCATTTCATCCCGAAACACTTCACATTTAATTACTCTTCCTGCTTGTCTAGGTAGTTTAAAATACAGCGGATAGACAGCGTAGGGCAAAGTAAAGTGAGGGACAGGAGGGATGTCTGAAGAATAACAATAGCACAGCAAGGTGCCATGGTGCTTGCAGCAAGGGGCTGAGTGGCAGGGGAGGAGAGCGCCAGCGGTCAGGAGAGATGTCTTGTCCTTCAAATAGGAAAGGAGATGGGATCCTGCATAAATGGGTGTCAGTGTGGAATAGGCTGAACTTCTGGTTTGCTTCATAACAAGCAGAAAGGGACATGTGGCAGTGTGTATTGTGCAGGAGATAAAAGAGCTTTAGTAGGTATAGGCAGAGAAGGGACTGTGGAAAAGTGATACCTTTGATTTAGTGCTACTTAGATCTATTAACACCTTTCGTGCACTCGGACTGCTCACTATTGTGCGTGCTGCACAAGGTCTTTGCTTTAAGGTACAGCTGATACAGCCTGGTCTTTCCCCTCGGTGCTCAAACAAGCTCTGCAGAGCCAATGCAGAGTTGGTCACCCATGCAGCAAAGAGCAGAGCCAAGATCCCATTACTTACTTCTAATAGTCACAGGCCCTAGCGCGAGCAACCTTTGGCAATTACCTTGTGATTTAGTCCCCTTTCCTAGTCACATTTTTTTCTAAATTGACTGTACAGAGGGATATCTCCTGGAGATGCAGGCTGGCTCCTGCTATGTGAAATGCTTTGCAGAACCTCGGCTGAGACCTGCAAGTTTGCTTAACGAACAATCTTAAATAAGTCTGCCTGCTGGATAAACAAAATGCTAGTTTCCATCTACCTAGCAGGAAATAGGCCCAAATAAGAATAACACAGACCCCCTCCGCCAATAAATGCACAGATTACAACATGGACCTGTGTCTAAATGTCAGTGGGAGAACACGTTTCCTTTTACTTCCTAATTCTGAGGTTCTTTATTCTCAGATCTACTCCTGAGCTCGGGAACAGGAAAGAAAGAAATCAAAGATGAAGGGATAGGAACAGTACATGAGTGGTTCCCAGATATTCCTTATGTAACACATTAACCTTCTAACCCTAATGAGCCAGTCAGGCTCATTTAAGTAGCCAAATTTCTCAGAGAGGTGAAGGTGACCTGTACAAGAACCAGGAGTATTTTCATTTTGCTAATTTCTAAATGGGAAAGTTTAGGGGGAAAGACTTTTAAAACTTCAGAGAACCTTTTGTGTTTGTGCCTGAAATTGCTGAGCAGTGAATCAAAAGTTTCTGGAGTGGTGCAATGGGGGGCAGGTGCTCCTGCACTCCCAGGGCTGGCATTTGGAGGTCTGTGACTGACCCAGGGAATGTGAGCCATGGATAAGGGAGGCCAAACACAAGATGGAGACATGATTAAGAGCTTCAGGACCCGCATTCCCAACCCTTCCCTCTGTGCCAGCAATTAAGGTAGTGAGATTCACAGACCCAAGAGAGGCAGACGAGGCTGGGTTTGAGCTGAGTGTGTGTGCGCCCACAGTAATTACATTATCCACACATATTAGTCTCTTAATTTTAATTACATAAATGTATTTTTCCTCTTTAATGAGCATAGTTTATCCATTTAAACTGATCGTTTTAATTTTACAGGCAGTGATCATAGGATCTAATATGCAGGGGGAAAATTTCCTGTTGGCATATTTTACATCACACAGATTGAAGAAAATATACTTTTTAATCCCCAATCAATATCTGAAGAGCATGCAATTAACAGATACCAAGGTAGTTAACATAAATCTGCAAGTTAAAGAGCCAATTCATTTTGATTTATAACACATAGAGTAATAATTTCATCATCATCTCTCCCAGAAAGCATCTGAAGCTTTGTAGCATGAAGATGTCAAAATTGCACTTAAGATTGTTCGAAGCACTGAATTGTAGTGGTTATTGCCTTTTGGCTCCTTGAAGTGTGGCATAGCACATGAAACAGTCTCCATTATAATACCCTGTTCTTCTCCGTAGAGGTCACTGGATAACTTAAATCAGTCTTGGGTGAAATATTAAAAGGAGATTGTCAATTGTAATATGAACAATTCTCTTCCCCCCCCCCTTGTCCTTTTACAATAAGAAATTTTTGTAATAGAAAGAAGTCCCTTTAAGGAGAAAAAGATCCCTGGCATCATTTGTGCAATTCATGTCAATCAATAGACAAATAAATTAGCTGACTGGTACACATACATGGAATAATAATCTAACATATTTTTGCAACCCAAGTCTGCTTCCTTGTGTGCATTTTTTCTGCCCGGGATCAGGTTGGTTGCCGCTGAAGTTTTGTGGCTGTGAAAATTTATTACCCACAGAGTCAATCTGCATTCTGGCTGCCAAGTCTGAATAAATAGAGTCATTGTGCTTGTCTGGAATATGTAACCAAAGTTCATCCAGTCAGCTTGACTTTCACATCCCGTGGGATTCATAAAAGCCAACACCCTGGTATGTGCTCTTGATTCCTGCCAAAATTTTGTAAAATTGTATAAACAGAAGTTGAAGAAGCAATCAGAACACACTCCCAGGGACATGGCTCTGCACTCCAGCCCCTGCTATATCTCAAAAGGAAAGACCCAACTTTAGTAATTTATTTTTTATATATATAATCGTATGACTACCCTCCTGTGGTGGCAGGTAAACATGGGAGCTGAAGACACCCGTCACGCACAGTGCACAAGGAGGCAGCGAACAGTCCTCTTGGATTCCTTAATTCTGCCTGCACTGAAGGAAGAGGGAAGGCAGTGATTGCCTACAAGTGGCTGTCCTCCTTAAGCAGACAGAGGGACAGGCTGGCCCTGCAGGGTCTGAGCGATGTGAGTGAAACCGACCCCTCCATGGGCAAGCCAAGACAAACAGAAAGCCATGTCCTTTCACAGGAGACCTCAGTGGAAGAGCAGCCTCAAGAAAGTTCACCAGGAACAGCTTCAGTGCCATAAAATAAAAGTCTCAGCAGGCTGGATCTGGCTTGACACCCAAAGCCCCACAGAGCAATGGCAGCCCACCCAGCCCAGCACTCTCCTGGGGGTCCTAGGGCTGCCCCCTGCCCACCTTGGGACAGCCAGGGTGGGGTGCTCCCCTAGGGGACCCATCCATGCTCCAGTATGACCCTGGCCATGACTGGGACAGAAAGCTTGGGGCTAATTTGGGTTACACCCAAAGTTCCAGTGGGGACATATAGGCCTGTGTTTCCTCCTTATCACATATGCGCTGAGGGATGCCAGGACTCAGTGCTGGAAATGAGCCTTTCTGGCAAGATTGTCTGCAGCACAGGAATTTACAACCAGCCAAGTCCATTCTGTCGTTGCAAAAGGACAAAAGTCCATCTGTGTGGCCAATGACAATTGATGTAGCCATGTCCCTGCAGAAATAGCATTAGGAAATTATTTATTTTTTTAATGTCATAAAATCATGCTTCATTTCTTTAACAGTGGCCAGAAACAAAAAAAATGTATTGAAAGACAATCTTTTAATAACGTGTAGGACTTTTCTCTTTCACTTCTGGATATGGACTGACAATCCACAAAAATATAAAAATTATCCTGAAATGAGTGGTCATGCGTACACTTTCTTTCTGAAGGAATAATTTTTGTTAGAGTCTATTTAAGCACTACTTCTGCATATGAAATGTAATATTCCAGCTAATTTGAGGCACTCTGTAATGAATTTTGAAAAAAAATGAAAAAGAGGCAAAGTGGCTATGAGCTTTCTTTCCTTAAGACCTCCTCTGTTAGAGC